ATAAAGTAAAAAGATAAAGTATTGGTCAATTCGATTTAAAAAAAAAGAAAGAAGAGGGGTGTGGTTTCAGAAAAACATGGCAAGATCTATATGAATTGATGCAAAATGAAGTGAGAAGAACCAGGAGATCGTTGTGCACAGTAATAGCAATGTTGTAATAATGATTCACATGGAGCTGCTTGACTATGCCTTAAACCCAAATCACGCTGCCTCTTACTGATTGGCCAATAATAGGTCCCAACCCAAGCCTCATTTGGCCATCTTTGGGTTTTGATGGCTCAGAGTGAGTGTAAATAGCAATTGTTTCTGTTCTGGACAGAAACCCTGAGGGTCTTCCCCTCTCAGATTGATTTTTTTTCACTAGATAAAAGAGGCCATTCTTTGCCTCATTTCTTACCTAGCCTTAAATAACTGAGTCACTGAATGGGTGTTGCTTCAGATAAACCGAGACCTGGAAAGACCTCAGCTTAAAAAGGCCAAGGTCTCCCTTACTCCATCTGGGGCCACCTCCAGTCATCCTGACCTATGTCTTGCCACTGGACTCAGATGACTCTGAAGGGGACAGTGAGGCTGATGACTTTGCACAGCCCTCCCTCACTTAAATCCAATTCACTTGCAAGTCAAGATATCACCCTTCTAATGTCATTGGTCCTCTTCAAGACTGGAAGATGAACAACAGCAACATCAATGATGATCAACTGTGAAAGACTTCACTGTTCTGATCAATACAGTGATCCCAGATAATTCCAAAGGACTCATGATGAAAAAATATTATCTGCCTCCAGAGAGAACTGATGTACTCTGAATACAAACTGAAGTGTAATCTTCTCAATTACGTGATTTCACATGTATAATTGCTATCATATTACTTGCCTTCTTAGTGAGTGGGGGAGAGGGTAAGAGGAAGGAAGAGGATTTGGAGCTCAAAATTTAAAAGTAAAATTATGTGATAAATATTTTAAAAGAAAGAAGAAAACCAAATTGTCAGTATCAAAAATGAAAAGGGTGAATCCATCACCAGTGAAGATGAAATTAAAGCAATTGTTAGGAGGTATTTTGCTTAGTTATATACCAAATTGACAATTTCAGTGAAATGGATGTTTACAAAAATATAAATTGCCCAGGTTAACAGAAGAGGAAATAGAATACTTTAAATAACCCTGTTTTAGAAAAAGAAATTGAACAAGCCTAAGAAAAAATTCCCAGGGCCAGCTGTATTCACAAGCGAATTCTATCAAACATTTAAGTAACAATTAATCCCAAACTCTTTGAAAATTAGAGTGGAGCAAATAGAAATCAGTGATTCCATGAGACAACAAGAAATACTAAAACAAAGTCAAAAGACTGAAAACAGAGGAAAATGTAAGGTATCTCACAGTAAAAACAGTGGACCTGGAAAACAGATCAAGAAGAAAAAAATTTAAGAATCGTTGGAGTAGCTGAAAGCCATGATCAAAAAAAGAGCCTAGACATCATATTTCAAGAAATCTTAAAAGAAAATTGCTCAGATCTCTTAGAACCAGACAGCAAAGTGGAAATAGAATCTGCCAATCACCTCCCAAAAGAAACCCCAAGATGAAAACTCCTTGGAATATTATAGCCAAAATCTAGAACTTTACCACCCTCACCCCATCCTACCATTTAAATCAGCTTATTTATTGGCACAAAGAAGTGCCCTCCAAAGTAGCAGGTGCAAGTGCACCTACTCCTTATGTAACCTATTGGGGCCATCTCCAGTCTTTTGATCTAACTCCCTATCTACACAAATGTTCTTGCTTGGGAGCTCCCTGTATTAATTAAACCACAGGCCTGGTCATGTATAGCCTTGAGGCCACTCAGAATGTCAGAATAAGGAGATTGTAAAACTAGGAGGTCACAGAACAAAGTTACAGCAACTGCTCCTACAGTGTGTCTGACTTCCAAGCTTTAGTCTGTGACTCCACTTGGAACAGGGACCCCAGAGATTCCTCTTTGTTCTGATAGGGATTTGATGCTTATTTATAGGATTACTTCGGTCCTTGAAGCCATAAGACCTCAGGTCTCCATTCTGATACTGCTCAGGAGGGAAGCTCCAAGGGCATTGTGTTTGGTCCTTGGATGGAACATGATGGAAATTGTTCTTTATTTTAATTTGATAATTGAGGTATTGGGATTAATAGATGAGAACCTGCAAGAGCATCTCCTTCACAGCTTCTCAGGTCAAATGAGGTGAATTGAGCCAATCAACCATGATCTAAGAGACTTTGCCAAAGAAATCTCTCCCTCTCTCTCTCTCTCTCTCTCTCTCTCTCTCTCTCTCTCTCTCTCTCTCTCTCTCTCTCTCTCTCTCTCCCCTCTCTCTCCCTCTCTCCCTCTCTAATTACACAAATTAACCTCGGTCCTGGTGCTGTCAAATGGTTAGTATTACATTGCTATAGGGGCTTATAGTGGAGGAAGGTTCATTAAATCTCCAAGATTAACTGAGAAAGCCTTCGTTAAATTTTGAACAAGAAGCAGAAAAGGCGAGAGATGGGTCATAACATCCCTTCCCTTGACTCAGGCCTCTTCCCTCATTTTCCAGACTTGTGTTCTCTACCTCGGTTCCCTGACCCACGTTTTGCCCATAATCCTCCTTACCACTCCAAAAGAGCCAGGGTCATACCTGCCATAGCTATATGGCCTTGATGAACCCTTTTCCCCATTCCCTTTGGTCTCACACAAAAAAAGAATGATATGTTCATTCACAAAATAAATCATGCTTTTCATTCTGACGCATAGCGTGGTAGAAAGACCATAGGCTTGGCTATCTGGACTATCCTTTGCCTCTGCTGAGTGTTCTATATAAATCATCCCTCTTGTCTCTTCTGGCTTCTAAGGAATGATGTGTATACTGTCCCCAGTTTTTGTATGGCCATGAGTCATAGAATACTCAGTCTCTTCAGAACTGAAATTGAAAACCACCCAAAAGGGAATGGAGTGGGTATGATCAGATGACAACATGTTACAAACAAGGATTTTGGAGTGACAGAGTAAAGGATGTCATCAAAGATGGCTCAGGTATGTGAGGGGAAAGAGAGCTACCTACTGGACAGCTCACATTCATCCTTGCTATCATAGTCACAGGGTCAAGAAGACATAATGATGCACTTTGGGTGAACTTCCCATAAGAAACTTGTAGAAGAACACAGACAAGAGTCACACGGGATGGGCTGGCATGGATGGATGGCATCTTGTATCCTTGAAAGGAATACCCATGTTGATGAGATCTTAGATCCATGTGAATGAAAGGAATCCTTCCGTAGTTCTCTGCCTCATTCCTTGTTTTGTTCTCGTCATCTGTGTTTATTCACACTTAGAAGTGCTATCTATTCTTCTGCCTCCCCTTCATTTCTTCAGTTAAAATCCATCAAATTCTAGTTCTGATATCACCTCCATGAAACCTTCCCATTTGCCTGAACCTCCTCCAAAAGAAAATTTCTCTCCTACAGTTTTTCAGTGTGCTTTGGCCAGGCCTCTTTGTTCTTTTAACATCCTTCCTTGTGTATATGTTAGATTACAAGCTTCTTGAGGACTTCATTCTGTGTAATTTCATTTTACCTTTGTATACCCAATGCCTAGCACTGTGTTACATATTAATAAATGTTTATCAAATTAAATGCCCTACTGTGCATTCTTTCTCTTGAAAAGAGAAGAGGGGGGCAGCTAGGTGGTGCAGTGGATAGAGCACCGGCCCTGAAGTCAGGAGGACATGAGTTCAAATCTGGCCTCAGACACATAACACTTACTAGCTGTGTGATCTTGGGCAGGTCACTTAACCCCATTGCCTAGCCCCCCTCCAAAAACAAACAAACCAAAAAAAAACAAAATTAAAAAAGATGATTTTTCTTCAGTGAGCCTTTTACCTCTTTTACCACAATTGCAATAGTTTTCTTGCTGTTCTTGCTCAAGTCTCTCCCCACTCCAGTCCATTCTCTACTAAGCTGCCAGAGGTTTTCCTAAAGCACAGGTCTGAACACATCACTCCCTACTCAGCTTAACTCTAGTGGCTCCTGACTGCTTCCAAGATCAAACAGAAAATCCTGTTTAGTTTTTAAAACCCTTGACAACCTGACCTCTTCTTGCCTTTCCAGTTATTTTTACACTTTGACTTCCCTCCATCTACCCTGCATTCCAGTAACATTGGCCTTCCTTGCTGCTCCTTACACGACATACAATCTCCCGACGTTTCACCGGCTGTTCCCCATGCCTGTGCTCTTCTCTCCCCACCTCCACCTCCTGGCTTCCTTCAAGTGTCAATTAAAATCCCCCTTTCTACAGGAAGCCTTTCCCAATCTCCTTAATTCCATGCCTTCCCTTTGTTTATCATTTCCAGTTTATCCTGTATATTTCTTTTAAGTACATAGTTGTTTACATCTTGTCTCCCCCATGAGCTCCTTGAGAGCAGGGACTGTTTTTACCATTCTTTATATCCCCAGGGCTGGCACCAATGCCTGGCACATAGAAAGGGTTTAATAAATGTTGACTATAAAGCATAAATTTATCCTCATCTCCATTTTCTGCTATATTTCCACATAAAGGGCCATACTCATAGGATTCCTCTGTAAACATTTTTTAATAAAAACAATTCACATATTTACATATATACATGGGATCACATACATGATTTAGGAATGGATGGTATTTCAGACTTTAAAGCCAAGGCACATTCACTTCCCTCCTTAAGCACTGTGCAGCACACAGCACTTCCTCAAGCCCATTACTGAAGAGTTGGAGGGGGCACTGCCTCAAGGGACAGTATAAATAAATGTAGATGGTAAAGATTTTGGGGGGGAAATAGTGTGTACACAGCTCTGTGAGGAAAAATATTCACAGCCAATGTGAACTAGGATTCAGGAGAGGGCTTCCTCTCTATTAGAAAGTCTGGAGGAAGTAATATTGTATGTGATTCATTTTTCCTTCACATTTCACTGGCCCTCAAACATTTACACGCCAGCCCAACGGTCTTTAGGGGAAAGGGCTCATTTAGTGCAAATGATTATGAAATAGGATCATTTGGGTTTTTTTTAGTGCAAATGACTGTTACCAGTGGTTATTGCTGAACTCTCTTGTTCAGCACAGGAGCATCAAGAGGCCTGACTGAACTGACCCTTTCTTCCCTCAGCCAGAACAGGAGTTTGCCCAGACCTCACAGCCACTATATGTCAATGGGGCAGCCCAGAATATAGCAGTTGGGAGCTTACGAAGTGGGAAACTAATGAGTAGAAACAGAGTTGCAGACTGTGCCTTCACTGTCTTTCTGATATGCGTTGAAATCCTGATACCAGTCTTCTTAGGAGGCAGGTCCAGGCCCTCTTCTGACCCTCAGTTTCTTGAGGCTATGCAATAAAAGGGCTGTCTTCACCAGCCACCAAAACACTGCCCTGTGGGCTCACTGGAGGCAGAGGACGTGGTTACTGCCCACAGGAAATAGCCTGGATGTTGGGTGGTCTGACAGGTGTCAGCAGGGTGTCCATCCAACTTGTATCCAGGGTCCTCAGTTCTGTGAAGGCTCGATGTAAATTCAACTCAAAAACCTCTGCACGAAAAAGAGAAAGGAGGTGTGAGATTCGTCAGCCACAGGCTAAAAGGACAAAATCCTTTTTGCAAGACTTGCAAATTTAAGAGGCATGCCAATCACCTCTCTTAGAAGGCTCCCAGACCCTAAGGCTACTGCTCCATGGGTCCCAGAGGTATATGACCCAAATGTAATCAGCAGAAATAGAGAAGAGAAGGAGATACATGTTTCTCTACAAGAATTCTGTGTGTTTTGCCCAAGCTTGCATGCCAATGGGTGAGGGAGCATCTGGGAAAGCCATTCTTATTTTAGGGGCATTTCAGGAGATAAGAAACAGCAGCTATTTCTTAATCTGCCAGTGTTAGAGATATGGTTCGCACTGTGAAGACGTTTAGAATTGGAGATGTTTTGCTTCAGTTATTCTTTGAGATTTGCCCACTAATAATACCTCACATTTTGTCAATCTTTAGTTATAAAGCATCTTTGTTATCTCATTTAATCACTCAATTAACAAGCATTTATTAAACACCTATTTTGTGCCAGACTTTGTGTTAGGTGCTAGCACTACCAATTCCCTCAGGGAATTTACCTTCAGGGGAGTCAGACCAAGTGAAAGCTAAAGAGAGTGTAGGGAGAGCACTAGTAGCTGGGGGACCAGGAAAGGCTTCATGTATTAGGTGGGACTTGAGCTCCAGGCCATGGGGAACAAACAGCCAGTGAGAAGGAGTAGAGACAGGAGATGAGAGTGGCTGAGAAACAATAAGGATGGTATGGCTGGTCCACGGAGTATAGGGCAGTAACATGGAGTAAGAAAAGCTAAGTAAGGGCTAGGTTGTGAAAAGCTTTGAATGCCAAACAGACAAATTCCTATCTGAAACTCGAAGTGACAGGGAGCTCCTGGAAGTTATTGAGTTGGGGAGTAGCCTGCACTTTAAGGAAAACACTCTGCAGAGGATGGGTTGGAGTGGAGGGACATCAGACAGGGAAACCAGTTAGGTTTCTGCAATAACCCAGGCAGCAGGGGATAAGGGTCTCAACTGGGGTGGTGTCTGGGTGAGTGGAGACAAATGGAAAGATGTGAGCCTCCTGACGGCATGGTAAGGTGGCAAATACAAATTTTATCATCCCTATTCTCTGAAGAAGGAAACTGAGACTTGCCCAAGGTTACAGAGCCATGAAGCCTCATCCTCTCCTTGGGGGCCTCCCTTCTTCCCCAGGACTTTGAGCCTGAGGTTCTCCCTACCTCCTGACCCGTCCACGTCGCTCTCCTCTTCCTTTAAGTTGAAGTTACTGTGGAGAGGCTGGGTGCCTAGTTCATTAAGCAGATACCCTTTTCCATCGACATCAGTCTGCTGCCACTCTGACTGTTCTATTAGCTGGAAGGGATAAGAAAGGAAGGGGTTATCCTGTGTTCTTGTTTCCCCGTAGTCTCCTTGACAAATCAAAGTGCCCTTGAGAAGGGACCAATACCCAGGACCAGTGCTGTGGCCTCAGACTCAGCTCTTGAAGCCTAGTGCATAAGGGGCCTTGAATGACAACATTCCCTCAAGCCATGGCAAAAACCTAAATGGCCAGCCCGCTACACTGACCCATAGGCTTATTAACTCCCTAATACGTTATTCATTCTCTCCATGGCGTCCTTTCCACTGAGCTCTACCAAGAGTGTGGAGTTCATCTTCAAGTCATAATGTCAGAGTTGGAAGGTACTTTAGAAATCTAGTCCAACCCTTCATTTTCCAGATGGGGAAGCTGAAGCCAAAGAAGAGTGACTTGCCCAAGGTCATACAGATAACAAGTGACAAAATCAAGATTTGAACTGAGGTCATTGGACTCAGTAGTCTTAACACTACCATGCTATGGTATTTTAGCTTAATTAGATGAGCTTAATTAGATTAGATATCAAACAAGATCAGAAGTGAAATATAGGTAGCTTCGATCACATCACTCCTTTGCTTAAAAGGCTTCAGTGTCTCCTTGTTGCCAACCACGCTCTACACTTTCGAAGGCCTGCTGAACATCTTCACCTGGTTGTCCCACAGAAACCTTAAACTCCCCATGTCTAAAGCTGAACCCCATCTTTCCTAACACCATTATTTCTCTCAGTGGAACCTTGCCCTGCCAGCCTCAAAGATTCTTGGGGCTAGGAGGCCTTTTTGGACTTTTTCCTGCTCCTCATTCTGTTGATCTCTTCAGTTGTCAAGGTTTTAATGTTCACAGTATCTTCTGCACCTGGCCTCTGCTTTCTGTATAACGGCAACTACCTAAGTTCAGTCTGCGTATTTTCTCCCCTGGACTATTGTAATAGCGTCCTGGTTTGTCTCCTCACATTCTAGCTTTCCTGCCTTTACCTGCTGATCACAGAACTCCTCAACTCAAAATCCTTCAGTGTTCCGCATTGCTTACCAATGAAATTTGAAACTCCAGAGCCTTCCAAATTCTTCCCTAATCTGGCTCCAGCTACCCTCTCAGCCTTATTTCATCTGTTCCACATACTCTTATCTATGTGGTGGCCAAACTGAGTTTCTCTCCCCCAGTCATTCTCAACTTCTTGCCCTCTCTGGTTTCCATGCATTCCATGGATTCAAGGTATATAACCTCATGCTTTGAATAGACTCCCTGACCTTAACTCTACCTCCATCCACTCACATCCCTCTTTTTCTTCCAGACCTAACTTAGGTGTTCCTTCCTCTGCTCTGACTCCCTTACCACCCTCAGCTCAAGGCTGAAATAGTCCCTTCCTCCTTAAGGGACTGAGACTCAGTGACCTCTAAATTTCCTCCAGCTCTATCTACTATCCCAAATAATTTCCCATAACACCTTGTATGGGCTTTCCCACAGCTTTTATCACACTGTGTTATGCCAAAGGCAGTCATTAGCTCTGTGTGTCTTTTCCCTTCACTAGATTATAAGCTTCCTCCCTTCGCTAGACTGAAAGCCTGTATCTTTTCTATGCTTGTAAACTCAACATCTAGAAGTAATAACTCATGTTTATGTAGCGCTTTACATTTTACAGACTCCCTTATGTGCATCATCTCTTTTTGAGCTTTGTAATAACTCTGTGACATAGGTGCTGTTATTATTTCCATTTTACAGATGAGGAAACAGCATCAGAGAGGTTAAGTGACCTGTCCAGGGCCACACAGCTCCCAAGTGTGTGGGGCAGGATTCATACGTAGGTCTTCTGGATTTCAAGTCTAGCACTTTAGTCACTAGCCTGATGCCTCAGCCATGCTAGCCACTTAATAATGTTCATGGAATGAAATTTTTCTTTAGAAAGACATAAGTAGGTACACAAGTTTTCTGCGGGCAAGAAGAGATACAATCTTGCATTCCAAGGGCCAGAATTAAGCATTAGCCTACATTCCCTCAGTGCCCACTGACAAAGGTGGAGGAAGCTGGCTGAGGATTCAACATAGGCTGTGAACCTCAGAACAGGTTAGATTAACCATATGAAAGTAGTTGATATTTTCTCTCATTACTGCAATGCCCCCGCAATACAGAGCCTCTTTGCAGTTAGACAAAGACAGCAGAGAATTCCTGTAGTAATCTGTGTGTGCCTCTGTCTCTGTGGCAACAAACTAGCACGTGCCATTTTTTTTTCAAGAGACTTCCTTGTTTTTTGGTTTTTTTCCCAAGACTAACAAACTGCCACTTCCTTAAAGCTGACCATAAAAGCAGAAAGAGATTTTTACCTTGATGATGTCCTCAGGTAGTTTTTCCTCCTCCTCCTCGTCCGTTGCTAATGTATTGTGGTGAAGGGTAGAGAAAAGGTGGTTTTTGAGTCATGTCTGCACTCTCCTTGGGAAGCCAGCCCCACCAAACTCTCCCTACACCCAATGGGACAATGCACACCAGCCTCCTAACAGCTCGGGCTCACAGGCTGGACTGACCGGACTCCAGGAAACAGTCCTCACTCGGGAACCTAGTCTGGGCAGTCAGATTCCTGGAAGCCAGTCACTGTTCCTACCCCATCTTCTCCATGTTGGAAGAGGGATGTACCAGTGACAACCTACAGAGAAACCAGAGAAACAAGCTGCCTCCCTCCTAAGCCAAACCTTTGTCAGTGCTACCAATAATTCCCTCTCAGAGAGGGTTTCTTTACCATGTCCTCTCCCTCCCTCCCATGCCTACTGTAGTCCACCCTGGCCTGTAATGCCAGGATATCTCTGCTGCCTCATATCTTCCCGGCCTATCTTTGAAGCTTCCCAATAAAAAGGAAATGCTAACATTTCCCTCCTGGGCACCGATCCTATTGGGACACTCCAGGGAACCTTCTAGGAAACCTTGGCAGAAAATGGGAATCCTAAAGTGCTGTCTGTGGTCAAGACCAGGAGTAGCTGTATGGGTCCCAGGAGATACAAACCATCAGAGCTAGAAGGCATTGGCGACACCTGGAAGGGGTACATGTCATTGGTGCTATCAGGGATGATATCCATTGAGACTTGCCAGTCCGGGAGAGTGCTGCTGACATCACAGGAGGAGAGATCTGGGGAATGGGTAAAAGCCAGGAATCAGAACTTCAGATCTGTGCAAAAGATCACAGCTCTTCCCATTCACAGACTCAGATAATCTTAGCATTAGAAGGTCAATCAGACCAACCCGTAGCTGAAAAAAATATTCCCACTAAAGCAGGCCAGGCCTGCACAACAGACAGCCCACCACGGCACGCTCTCTCCTGTTTGTCATGTGACCTGAGACAACCAACCACAGTCAGTTTGTCTCCAGTAACCTTTACTTGGAAAGTGAGCCGCTAAAAATCTACCTCTGGCCCAAAGAAGGTTAGCCTATTTTAATTTTGGCCCTTACCTACTGCCAAGTTGTACAGGTCTGCACTAAAGCATACCCGGCAAATGGCCCATCTAACCTGTGCTCGAAGACTTCCAAAATGGCTACTTCCCTTGGCAGCCTATTCATTCCACTGTTGGACAGTTCTAATGTTTAGAATAATGTTTTTCCTAATTTCAAGCTCTTGTACAATTTCTAGCCATCGCTCCTGATTCTGACCTCTAGGACAAAATAGAACAAGGCTAACCTCTCTTTCATGTGACAGCCTTTCAAATATTTGAAGACAGGAATCATGTGCCCAGAGTATTCATTACTCCAGGCTAAATATCACAGGTCTTTCAACCAGTCTCATATGGCACAGACTCAAGGACTATCTACCATCCTGGTTATCTTCCTCTGGATGCTAACTAGCTCATGGCTATCCTAAACCGTGGCGCCCAGAATTATACAGAGTACTCTAGGTGTGGTCAAACCACAGCAGAGTACAATGGGACCACTCCTTCTTTATTCCTGGAAGCTATTCCTGCCCTAACTCAGCCCAACACTGGATTAGCCTTTTTTTGGCCACCATATCATGCTTATAACTCATACTGAGCTTGGAATCCACTGAGACCTCCAGATTTTCCTGTCCTAAGCTGTAGAAATATGACCCACATAAGATCTGAATTCACTGAAAAACACATGACCTTGAACCACAAACTTGACTGGTGATGATTCAGGACAATGTGAAATTGCCTAGGGTAGGGCACAACGTTTAAATTCCTAAGCACCAGCTCCTGGGTGCCTTTAGTGTCTAGTATATTTTGAATCCAAAAATAAATGGATCGACTTGGCTAACAAATAGCTAAGCACTAAAAAGAGCTTTGAGACCCCTTCCTTAGTAACAATGGTCTTGAGAAAAACCTGGGTTCTTGTCCCGCCTCTGCCTATTTAACTACAGTAGAATTATGACTAACTCCCTCCCCTCCAAGGGCCTTACTGGTCTCTTCTAGCTGAGGTATCACAGGACACTGAGCTCTGCGAGGCTGTCAGTTCCATCCTCAGGGCCACAAAGAGCAGGAAGGCTCTCACAAGTCAGTGGTGCACACGTTCCCTGACTCACCCAATGAAACCGAAGAGCTTTCCACCTCCATGTCCTGATCCATGTAAACCTGAGCTGTGTATCCACTGTGGTCATCGGGGAGAGTCAAGCTGCTAAGCCCATCCGACTGGGTATCAGGGCTGGATTCTGCATATGACTGCCGAGAACAAGAGATTCAGGCCCCTGCCTAGGGCTGATCTCCCACTTCCCGGAAGTCACCGATCAGACAGTCTCTTCAAGGAAATACCTACCTTTCTCTTGCTCTTGCTTCTGGAGTCTTTGGACGACTTGGATTTTCTCTCTGTGAAACATACGTATTGAGTGAGCATCTATACTCTCCTTGAATACAGCCTCCCTTCTCCATCCTATCTGCCCTTCCCCTCCTCACCTCCTCCATACCTTCCACCTAGTAGTATCCTCCCCTGTACCTTTCCGCTGGTTCTTAGTTAGAGGTGGGAGCATCCGGTACACTCTCACAGCTGAGCTGCCCTTGTTCCTGCTTTGGTCCTTCACTTCCTCTATGTCAGGGAGTGAATTCATGGCACATCGGAAATTGGCCTTCCACGTCTTAGGGTCTGGCTCCCTCTCCCCGGCTTTGTATCGGCCTAAAGAAGATAAAAGAAGGATGTCAGGATCATTGTGAAAAGGCAAGTGGAATGTCTTATATTTTCCCTGGGGAGACTTAGGCTCATTTTTGATATAGGCAGTGTCTGCTATGCCCCTTACAGTCTATTGTAAACCACTGTATGACCTTAGGTCATCCTGGCATGCTCGAAAACACCATATTTGCCTCCGTGCTTTGGCATTTCCTCATATAATACTCTCTAATTGTTTTACATGGGTACATTCTAAGCTCTCCAGCTTGATTATAAACTTCCTGAAGGAAGGGGCCAATCAGATTTTTAAAAACATCTAGCTCAATAACATAAGGGCTGTCAATAAATTCTTAGCTGGTTGGCTGATTAACTAATTGGATGGGTAAGTGGCTGGCCAGCAACATAAGGTAAGAAAGCCATGTCTACATGTTTCTATAGTATAGGAAAAAGCCCAGACTGGGCTGGGCACTGGGATCAGTCAGAAGAGATATTCCTTCAAGATGAGCAATGACAAGGGACCCTGATGAGGGACTCAAAGCAAAGAGAAACAGTCCTCTCTTTGACTAGAATGAGCTCTGAGCATTTTAAACAAATCCCATCCGTTTGGATCCATTCTCTGCATCATCGATGAGGTTTCCCATGCCGAAGGCCCAGCTCCAGGCATGGCACCTACCTACCTACCTGTGTGAATGGCCCAGCTCCGAAAAAGACAGGCATCCTTGTTGATGTCCCAGCCGTGCTTTGCTGCATGCTTCCATGGGATCTGGAAAGTCATCTCTTCCTGGAGTTTAAAGCAGAGCTCAGGATGAATATAAAACTGTACCTCTGTGGGTATACAAGTCACCAAGAAGCAGTAACATGCAAAGGCAAAGTATATAGACTAAGGTTGGAGCTATACAGTAACAAAACAAGGGGCAAGAAATTTATGTCAAGTATAAAATCGGAAGTTAATCATGATAGAACATTTCATCTCTTCCCAACTAGACCCCCATGATACGACTTGATGCTATTTGGCAAGTTCCTGAGCATATATGCTATATTCACAGCAAACCTACTCCTGCCTTTGACAAGGAACCCTCTGACCCTGGCTCTGGGCTTTGTCTGGATCCTTTTTCTGGTTACACAGTCGGATCTAAGTAGAGAGATGAGTGATGATACATTCTTTTGAGATGGGGTCCTCCTCTGAGCACAGTGATCCTCAATATCGTTTCCTAAACTGACAGATCCCCTTACCCCACACAACGACTGGCTGAAGAGTAAGAGACCCAAGTTAGAGTTCAGGTTCTGCTGCTAACTCGCTATCAGACTCTGAGCAGGTTGCCTCAACTCTCTGGACTTCAGTAAAATGAGGATACCTATCTCTGAAGGGTTTATGAAGGTCAAATGAGATGGTGTACATGACAACTTTGAAAAGTAAAAAATACAAGATGAGAGGCGGCATGGGGTAGTGGATAGATACAAGTGGGAGGGAACCCAGGACGGTCTGGGTTCAAGTACTCCCTCTGATATATACTGGTTGTGAGATCCTGACTAGATCCCGTAATCCCCTAATGTCCCAGGCAGTTCCCTTAAATTAAGGGAGATTATATAAACTGCACCAATTGCTGACTTGCATTGTAGAGGGAATTTCATCACAGGGGGTTCCCTATGCTGATGAAATCACAGGTCCAGAAAAGAAAATATAAGTTATTATTATGCACCTGCATTAGGAAAGAGCTAAGTAACTGATTAAAGGCTCATTCCTAGTCCTAAAGGTAGAATACACTTCTTCTGGCTGGCTCTTTATTCCTTACAACTCTCAGTCACAAAGTGTTCTTTGTCTATCTCCAGCACGAAGGGTGGGATTCTGCAGTGGCTAAGGCCAGTTTGAGGAGCTCAAAATGCTGGAAACGGATACCACTGGAAGTTGTTGGTTCGGCTTGGGTCTTGTATGTGCTAAAATGGGGGGAGGGGATGAGTGCCCAGGAGTCCCAAACATCAATGAGACCAGGTACCTACTTTGCACACTTATAGCATACTTCATAGGGTCTGGCCTGGGAAAACACATTCTTCTGCCACCCAATCTCTTTCCTCTCCCAGATCCGTTTGGATCTTTAGTTTATATAGCATGAGGTATTGGTTAACAGGAGAGGAGGAAAAAAAACCAAAACAGGTGGGGCTCTCACCTTGTTAATCCAGGTCAGGCCTGGGATTTGGTTGGAATTAATCTGCATCTCTAGCCAGGGTCTCATGCGCATTCTGGCAATGGGCATGTTGTCTGTGAAGCCAAGAAAAAGGCTCAGGTTTAACTGCTGAAGGAAGTAACTGCTCTACACACCCACCTCCATCCCACAGACACAGGGAGACACATATGCAGCTACAACACGAAGGGTGATGCATGCATAGTGAAGGGCAGTTAAGGCAAGAGGACATCCTTAAACACAGGGCAGACATTTAGAGTTCTGAGCTCTTCCCTTCTCAACAAACAGTCCAAAGGCATATGAGCCAAAGAAGGACAGGAAATGAAATAAATTGAGAATGTTGTAGAAGAGGAGATTAAGACCCACTTTTATGTTTAAATGCCCACCCTGTCTTTTTTCACCGATACAAAATTCTTTGTAAAGGTGGGGCCTTCATTTCATTTTCTAGGCCACCTGTTGCCAAGAAAAGTATCTCCAGCTATGAATTATCACCACAGAGAGGAACAGTCCACTCTCTCTCCACTCTGTTATTAACAAAACTAATCACTTTGGACAGCCAGAGATTTTTCTCCCTATTTTTCAAAGGGAGACTTTAGCATTTACTAAACAACTTCTCAAAACGCAGCTTTCTTGATCTGCCAGCCATCCTGCAGAGCGTTAACTATTTCTCCAGTCTCATTAGAACCCCCACCCCACCCACCCCCTTGTTCTAAGGAGGAGCTCTGCTTCCTCCAGGAAGCCCCTCCCAAGGCTGTTTTGGGAGTTCCAGTTCATCCCTGCAACCAGTCCCCCAGACCTTTCCCTGCAAGAACAGTTTGCCCCCAGCGGCCCTGGCATGGGGTCACTAGAGTTTGAGCCTATCCACTTGCTTCGCGGGGACAGGTGGCTTTGAGCTGGGTTTTCTGAAAGTTGTGGACTAGTCAGCAACTGGGCCATTCTTCCCAGAATTAGGGGGATGGGCAGGTTGGCCCTCTGTTGGCCTTCTCTTGGGGGCACGTGCAACACAGGCTCTGGTGGTGTAGCCACCCAGTGGCTCCCTGGCAGGGTAGTTACAGCCTGTGGCTGTCCTGGGGCAATGACCCTGTGCTCCTGGGGTTGGGTAGTTTCACGGCGACGTCTGCCCTGAGAAGCAGCCAGATATCATCACCTTTAGGCCGGGGCCAAATGATCGCAAATGATCCCTGGATCAGAGACTAAAAGCCAACGGCTTTCTGGCCTGAGGGCTTGGGAAGGGAAATGGTTGGGTGGAGGGAGGGTCAGCGCGTCCCGGCCTTTCCTCTCCGTGGGCAGCTAGCACCCCCTCCCTCTGGGCTGCTTGTCCTCAAACGCCCTCCCAAGGCCAAGCTCCTCAGGCACAGCAGAGAAGAGAAGCAGAGCAGAGCTCGACTCGGCTCGGCTCAGCTCAGCTCAGTACACAGCGCAGCAAGCTCGGCACATACACAGCAGCCCTGGGAACGCATTACAACTCAGCTCAGCAGCAGCGCCGACGCCGGGTTAGCTCTTTTGGTTTTTTTTTCTTTTTTAATGGTCTTCACTTCCTGGTCTAGGAGACGCGACGCCCAAGCCTTTAGTAGGAGCAATGTCAGGGGCGCCCTAGCTAGGAGTGCGCCCCTCCCCCTCCCCCAAAGGGTCAGCCCCCGGCTGCAGACATACACAGCTTTCCTACTTTCTGTCCCAGCGCTCTCTCCAGGTGCGAGGGAGGAGGGATGGGGTTGGGGGAGGGTAGTGTTATGGCCCAGGTCTCCCAGAAAAGGATGTGAGCTAGAGGCTCCATTTACCTGGATCGGGGGCCCACGCCGCCGTTGCCTTAGAAGTCTGGCTTGGAAAGCTGGAGCTCGCCTTGTCCCCAGTGTTCGCCCGCCTAGCTGTGGGCCCGCTGTCGCCTCCCGTGGGGCAGCTCCACGGGCTTCAAGCAGGGAAGGCTAATCTTGGAAGTCCGCGGGTCCTGCTCCAACTGTCCCCAGCCGCGGACAGTCAGCAGAGTCCGTGGCACGGAGTGTGCTCCCGGTCCTGCTCTTGGCCTCCTACCTCTTGGACGGCGCCTTTCGCACTGAGCCTAGGTCCTGGAGCCGGCCGCGAAGACTAAACATTGAGCGGGATTCCCCGCTCTGGGCAGAGCCGGTCCCCGCCCAATGGGGAGCCGCGCCACCGCTGATTGGCTGATCAGAGAGCATCATTTCGGGGAAATCAGGCCGTTGTAGAGCTAGAGGCTAGGGGGGAAGTACAGAACCTCTTTCCCTCCTCCCCAGCTCGCTTGCTACATCTCCCTTTGCCTTCCTCCCCCAGCTCCCCGCCTCCGCGGGCTACGGACACACCCCCAATAGGCAATCTGGCTTACCCAAGAGAGAAACCCTTTAGGCTCCAAGCTTCCAGCAGCCTGCCCTCAGGGAAAAGGAGGAGAGAGGCCATTCAGGAAAACCGTGCTCCTGATTTTTCATTTTCACACCAGGCTTTGGAATCCTGCACTTACTTCTACACAATTATCTTATTCCTCTTGCCATCTTTTTTCTGCACTTTCCGGACCAAGGTGAGAGAGCAGTCAGGGGTGTTGCCCCAGGGGGAGGGTGCTAAGCAGTGGTGCCAGGGACTCACCTTTCTCTGGAATGTAGTATCTGCCACCTTCAGGGTGGCCACAGAGATTGAAACCAGGAAAATCAGCAGAAGCCATTGTACCAGGCAGTGAAAGATCTGGAGTTTCTACTTCTTATCTTGCCCCCTGATTCCCTAAACGATATTAGAGTTGGATGGCAGATCTATCTATCTTATCTATCTATCTATCTATCTATCTATCTATCTATCATCGAATTAAACTTGAAAGTAGAAAACTTACAGTCCTGATTCTGTTACTCTACCTATATTGCAGTTATTGTGAAGAAAGTGTTTTGTGAATCACAGAACACTAGATATGAACTCTACAGGCAGCCTCTCTCCACTCACAATGTCTCTCAACTATAGGAGTGGCTTCAATCTACTGAACTTCTCCATCCCTAATGATCTGGGTGTTGAAGAGGCAAAGTAGGATGCAAGTACTTTGCAATTCAGTACAAATCCGGAGTAAAAAAATAATTTGTTTGGGGGAGACATAAGATTCCCCTCCCCCACCTTTCTCTTTTAGCAACTCCGCCAGCTTCAACTCTGTCAGTAAATGTTGATTAAGTGCCCGCAATGTGCTGGGCGCTGTGATAAGCACTGGGGATACAAAACTCAATCAATAAACATTTATTAAGCACCTACTATGTGCCACTTGCTGTTGTTCAGCCATGTCCACCTTTTCGTGACCCCATTTGGGGTTTTCTTGGCAAGGATAACGAAGTGGTTTGCAGTTTTCTTCTCCAGCTACAGATGAAGAAACTGAAGCAAACAGGCTTGTGTGACCTGCCTCGTGTCACACAACTACTAAGTGTCTGAGGCTAGTTTTGAACTCAAGTCTTCCTGACTCCAGGCCTAGGCTCTATCCACTGTGCCCCCTCGCTGTTCACAGTACTGTGTGCTCTGCCAAGCACTGTGGTGCTAAAGGACAGAGATACAAAAAGAGGTAAAAAACAGTCCCTGCCTTCAAGGAGCTCACACACTAAAGGTGGAACTCATAATCAGCTCCCAACACCTGAGTGAAGAGCTTCTCAGAAACATCAGGAGGTTGCTTTCTCCTCATTCTGGCATTTCAAACACTTCACATTTTGACTCCAACCTGCCTTTCCAAGCTTATTGCACGTCAGTCTCCTTCATACAGTCTGCTTCCCAGCTAAACTGGTGTTCTTGCTCTTCCTAGTACACAGCATTCCATTCCCCTTCTCTCCTTGTCCCTGGCCAGATGTACCCCTATACCTGGGAAGTTCTTCCCTTAATCCTCAGTTTCCTTCAAGGTTCAGTTCAAGTGGTCCTTCCTGCATGAGGCCTATCCTGATATCCCCCAGGCACTCAGTCCCTCTCCCACACCCAAATTACTGTATATTTATTTTACATCTATTTCATATTTCTTTATCTCTGTACATATTGTTTTCCTCCAATAGAATGTAAGCTCCTTGAGGGCAAGGACTGTTTCATTTTTGGCTTTGGGTACCCCAGCACCTCTCACAGTGGTTGTTGAATGTTGAATGAAATTGTAGAAGAACCTCTCTTGAAGAACCTTTGCCAAGGGGAGGAGCATAAGCCTTCAAACAGACTTGAAGACTACCTTGTTGGCCCTGGAGCCATCCCCAGAGGGAGAAAGCTCAGATAACTGATTGTACTTCAGAGACAAAAGAGGAAGGGTTGAAGCTTGTGCATACACAGACACGTTTGGCATGGAGAGTTTGTTGGAGGGCTTTAGGGGCCTGGGTATCCATGTGTGGATCTTAGTGTGGTACAGGGGAAAAGGGTACTGGATTTGGTGTCAGAAGATCTTCATTCAGATCCTACCTCTGTTACCACTGTTGTAATCTTCAGCAAGTCACTTCAGCTCTGTAGGTCTCGGTTTTCTTATCTGTAAAATGAAAGAATTGAACTGGGTAGCCCCAAAGGTTCCTTCCAATTCTAAATCTATGTTCCTATGAGGTGAGACTGGATGAGTCTTCTCTTGTTCTTAGCTATTACTTGGTGGCACCTCAGAAGGAGTGGTAATTGAGCCAAGTTCAGATCAGATTTCAGGCCAATAACATTGTTCTCACACAGTTAATCTCTGTGGTATTTGACTTCCTGATACATTGGGGTTGATCTTGCATTCAGATGACCCCAGCTGCCTAAGCCCTTCAACCTTCCAAGGAGTTGCTGCTGATTCATTAGTTGGCCCCAGAGACTTAGCTCATCATGTCCCTTACTTCAACCTCTGACTGCCCCTCTAAGAGCATTAGACTATTGTAATTTGTGGCCAGAAATACATATTTTTTCCCTTTTCCTTTTTCACTTGATCAACTTTGTCTTTCCTTTACAGCAAATTTGTACATCACTGAGTCAATATTATTAAAGCCAGCGTTCCTGTGGTGTCTCTCACCTGTCTTTGGTGTATGAAAACCAAGGATGTGCAGGAGTCAGCTCAAACAGGTCTAGTGAGAGCTTACTGTTAAATTTTCAGAATGAGCGTTTACATCACTGCAGATCAGGGCTCGATTTATTGTTTTGTTGATTGTCTAGAGTTAGAAAAGTGAAGGAGAAAATGTTAATGACGCAGATGAAACTTAAAAGTGAGTCCTGTACACATTTCCTGCCCCCTTTCCCCCCACCCCAGCCAATTGTTAGCAGCACATCCCTGAATGGAAAGAGGACCGTATTTCAAGTCATAGACCCAAGTCAGATTGCATTTGAATCCCAATTCTGTTATTTTTACCCTATGTAACTTTTGGCAAGTAATGTAATCTCTCTGGGCCTCAATTTCCTCATCTGTAAAATGGGGGGGGCCTAGATAAGTGGTATCTGGTCCTGGTTGGTTGTTGTCCTTCATGCCTGAAGAGAATCAAAATGACATCATTATGTCAGAGTCAAGGTACCACGTATCTGACTGTGACTAATCAGACCAATAAGATCTTGGAAGCCTCCACCAGAAGGTAGGTACAAATAGTCCATACCAGTATTTGGAATGGAGATATCTCCAAATTTGCTCGTCTATGTTTCCTTTGCGCTACTGCAATTCTGCTTTGCTCATAGAGCACAGCACCTTCCTTGATGCAGGCATGCCTTGCTGAGTGGTCTGATGTGCTAGTGTCTCCCATGTCTCATAATCAATTCCAAAGTTCTTTGGAGAGATCTTGAGGGTGTCCTTATATTGCTTCTTCTGACCTCCAAGTGTGTAAGTACTTGCCTTGTATGAGTTCTCTGTAAAACTGTCCTTTAGGCAAACCGATGTTTGGCCTTCAAACAATATGGCCAGCCCATCAGAGTGGTGTTGTCTGCGGTAGAGTTTGAATGCTTGACAATTCAGTTCAAGAAAGGATCTCAGTGTCTGGTACTTTCTCTTGCCAGGTGATCTTCAGAATCTTCCTGAGACAATTCAAGTGGAAATGATTCAGTTTCCTGGTTAGGCATTGGCATACTGTCAGGTTTCAGAGGCATACAACAATGAGATCAGCACAATCCCTCTGTAGACCTGCAGATTGCTAGGCAGCCTAACTCTTCTCTCCCACATTTTCCTTCAAAGCCTCTCAAACACTGAGCTAGCTCTGGTGATGCATGTGTCAACCTCATCATCTATGTGTATGTCTCTGGAAAGCATACTGCCAAGGGAAATGAACTTATCCACAGCATTTAAAATTTCTCCATTTGCTGTAAACAGTGGTTCTACATCTGGATGGGGTGGTGCTGGCTGGTAGAGAAAGCTGTGTTTTCTTGGTGTTAATTGTCAGGCCAAAAGTGGCAGAGAATCACTCCAAACTCTTGCATCTCAGCCTCAGAGGCTTGCATTGAGTACACAGTCATCTGCAAACAAAAAGTCATGCATCAACTCTCCTTCTGCTTTTGTCTTGGTTGAAGGTACTGATATCACTGAAAATTAAAAAGCATGGGAACAAGCATATAGTCCTGCTTTACTCCATTAGTGACTGGGAAAGCACAAGAGCATTGGCCATTAACCAGAGCCCAGGCCTGCACGCCATCATGAAACTAGTGTACAGTACTGATGAACCTCTCTGGGCAACCAAATTCTGTGATGTTGCTCCCCAAGCCCTCATGATTGACAATACCAGAGGCCTTAGTCAGATAGACAAACATTATGTACAGACCTCTGTTCTGTCCTGGAACTTCTCCTGGAGTTATCAGGCAGCAAACACCATAATGACCATTCCTCAGTCCTTTCTGAAGCCACACAGGCTCTTGGGTAGATGACCATCTTCCAGGTGAAGGATCAGCCTGTTAAGGATTCTGGTAAGAATCTGACCAGCATTGACTAAGAGGGACTCTCCTGTGATTGTCACATGATGACCTTTTCCTTTATAGAGAGGGACAATGGAGGCAACCTTGAACTCCTGTGGGGGGGGAGGGGGAGGGTGATAACCTCCTCTTACCATTTAACCTGGAAGACATCAGTCAGCTCGACCCCCTGCCTTGTCAATCTCAACTGAAATAGAATCATCACCAGGCA